GTATCGGAATGGTTTATAATATTCAAACCCGTATTTATGAATCAGATCAATCTCGCATTTATATATATTAGTTTTTATTTTGTTTTATTATTTAGAACTATAAATAATTTTAAAAAAATAGATTTGAAGTGACATCGAAGGATAAATAACTTTTTAAATTTTTCTTACATTTGTCATATTTGGCATAAAAATTTTGTGAATATTACGCCCCAAATATCATAGATCACTTTTTAAATTTTTCTTACATTTGTCATATTTGCCATATAAAATTTTGTGAATATTACGCCCCAAATATCTATATTACTAAAAGCATTCGAAATCATAAAAAAATGTTGAGAATATTTTGTGGGTTAAATTTTTGAAGGATAGTTGTAAATTCTTGTACGGATAAGCATTTACTTATTTATATTCATTCTAACAGATCTTAAGAAACGCATTTATATTCGTACTAACAGATCTTAAATGCTTCTCGAACAAAATTATGACCTGATCAACGTAGTGTTACAAACTGATAAGAACTTCGCATGATATCGTTGCTAATTTGACTTCGTGAACAAGGAAAAGTATTTAGAAAACATTTAGACAGACTTTAACAAAATAATTTATATAAAAAAAAAATATGGCTAAAATTTAAAATTTAGTTTGGGATTTAGGATTTAGTTTGGGATTTAGGAATTGGTTTGGGATTTAGGATTTGATTTGGGATTTAGGAATTGGTTTGGGATTTGAGTTGGTTTAGGATTTAGGGTTTGGAATTTTGGTAATTCAATTTATTTAAAATCAATTGTTGCTATTGGAACTAAAAAACATTTCTTTGAAAAATTTTTTTTAAATTCCTAGTGTGCCAATTATTCCATTTTTTTTGGATCCGGACTCCTGTCCATCGACATGTGGCCATGTCCATGAACAACCCTGAAGTACGGTACTAAACCTTTATATGGATCCGAACCAGGGCCACGGAAAATTTTGGAAATAAATTTTTCCAAAATTTTCCAAATATTTGCACAAAATCCAAATAAATCCAAATTTTTTGGGTTTTTAACAACATAACATCTCTTTTTTTATTGGTCCAAAATCGCCTTTTGATCACGTGGAATAATCAGCCATGGGCCGATCAAGGCACCAGGTCAACAGATACAGGGTAGGGATCCTAATTTTCTGCTGCGACAAGCCCAAATTCTGCCTGCTCTACACTTCGAATTATGCGAATTATGCGATAAATTTGTTAAAATTATGCTACAGTTTATGCGGATCAGATAGAAATATGCGAAATTTATCATTATAAATTTTTATCGTTATTGTTATTGTAAGTACTAAACCCCCATCAGTAACTTACCAATAAAACCACAAAATCTGTGTAATATAAAATTACGAAAAGAGTCGTGTTTACAAAACTGTCTTTTGCACCAAACAAAAAAATACCTGCAAAATTTTAGTATAAGGCCACGCAAAATTAATTTTTCGTTTTGCATAACCCGCCGACCTTTTTTTTAAATTTCAATCATTCCATTTTTGCTATTTAATTTTTTCTCCGGTGTCACCCGATGGTGACCTTAATTTTCTGGAATTACCCGATAGAACCGAATTACAGTAGATTAAAAAAAAAAAATCCGACCAGCCAACTGAAATTTTGGAACACCATGTTATGCAAAACGAAAAATTAACTTTGTTCCTAATATATGTTTCTTATTAAATTTTTATACTACTTTAACGATATGTTTTATTACTTAACATTCTACCGTTATTTGAAATTTCAAAATCTGATAATTTATGAAATTTATGTTTCGTACTATCAAATGCTGCGTCCAATAGGAACCCGATATTACTCGACCTTTAATTCCGGCCATTTATGCGCAGATTATGCTTTATTAATTATGCGAAATTCATCTTGATATGCGAATATCGCAGTCGCATATGCTTCTGCGGTAAAATCTGAATTATGCTATCGCAGATCCGCGGTATCCCTAATACAGGGACACGGGTCATTATTAGTCATGTGGCATGGCCTAAATTATAAATTAATTTCGTAATGCCGGCCAAAATCCAAATTTTTCCAGATACCCAATTTTGGCCCTGCGCGATACTTAATTTAATTTTGCCCGGAATTATACTTAATTTTTTACCTAATTTTGCCCAGAATTATATTTACTTTAGCCTAAATTAATTTTAATTTTGTCTAAATTATGTATTTTAATTTTTCCCGAAAATAAAATTAGCGTATTTGTTGATAATTAATATGATTGGTTAACTACGTGACGTTGTTGATTCACGCGAATTTTCTGAAAATAGATTGTCACGTGAGATTAATAAATTTTTTTCGATTTTTTGTTGATCTTAATTTTTTTTAACACGATGTCTTACAAAAAAAAATGTGCTTTTTGCGACATATCAAACTCTCTATCAAATTCTTTTGAAGATCCCCGTTTAATAGAAAATGCGTCACTTTACTTTGAGCATAAGCTAGATACAACATGGAGTCTTTTAGATTTCCTTCAATTTAGAAAAAAACAAACAACGTGGACAAAAAAAAAAGATGTAGAATTTAAACTATTCTTGCAATGCCTTTCAGCCAAAACCAAAACGATGGATATTGCTATTCAAAATTTTATGATTAAAAAATATGATGTAAGTCGCTCAAAATGACTTACTCTCACTTCTTGTCTCGTCTGTATAAACAAACGTTGCAATTTCTCTTCACTATCTTCACTATTCAACTTGGCCTCATCTGTATTATATGCAGGATGTTGCAAGTTAACTTTTTCTTTGACTTGGCATCACTTGTATCTCACAAGGTGTTGCAAGTTTTTCGATATGATCAAATTCCTTTAACTAAGAGTGACTTTATTTTTTTAGAATGAAAAAAAAGGGACTCATATAAAAGGCATTTTTGAGGATCATCCGACAATCACACTTTCTAACAAAGAAAAGTCTCATAATTTCAAATCGCTTGTGTCCGGAAAAGTAGGTCATTGAAATATATTCTGTGGTTAAGATTGTAAAACATATAAAACATATGATTTTTAAAAAAAATTATTCAGATTGGTACTAGACAATGTAAACTTGAATCAGGAAATACCCTTCAAGAAACATTAGCATCATATTGGAAAAACAAATGGGATGAATTCAATAAACTTGATTTTGACGATCCTTTTGTATCTGGAATTCTTTACTTACCTTTTTTACCATGGCTTAATGAGCTTTTTTCAACTGAAGATATCATTGAATTGAAGAATAATTCAAGCTTTATACACAATTTAGCTAATAGTTGTGGTTGCCTTATTTACAAAAAATTCAATCAAAAAATAAAGACCTGGTATTTAAAAATCAAGGACCATTTTCCATATTTTGTCAAAGGATATGTTTGCATTTGTAAGCGTTTTTTCTTAAAAATATAAAATTGGATCACTACTTTAATAACTTTAACTTCAAAACAGTTTAGACTTGGTAGAGACTGGGATGTATAATGAACCTGATCATTTTACTTAATGAAGGAACTTGGCGACACAACGCATATGACTTTTTTAAATATCTTCTCGACCCATTAATTAGCCAAAACAAACAATATGACCATGTCATGAAGTTGAAGCGTTATTGGTGTGTATATCTTTTATACATAATCTTAAACTGAATTTTTGAATCTGAATTTTTGAATATTTAGGGCAGAAGTAACTTTAGATTCATCTTCAGAAAGAAAGACAAAAGCTCAAGTAATTGAATCATTTAGAATTTACATAATCTTAAATTCTACTAAAATATTTATTATGTAATAGAATAAAACTATTAGAGGAAGGATGGTAGATTTTGTTCTACGTCTCAAGAGTGCAGAAGACAAAAGTCTTGAACTCTTTGTATGTGAAATTGCTGGCGGCCCATACAATTTGAAATCCGATAAAATTTTGTCTGATAAACGTAAAGTTTTTCGGGAACTTCAAGATATGTTGGCAGAAATAATTGGGTATTTTATAACCAATTATAAGGATCGGTTTACTGATAATATAGTGAATAAACTTCATCAAATAAAAGTATATGCTGCTATTGGATTCGGTATATTTCGTAACTAAAAATTATATATTACTTAACATTATTATAATTTTTATTAAAAATGATTTATTTTGCAGGGTTTCAAATATCTTTTTACTTACTAGATATGAAAAAAGGAATTAATATTTGTTATCCATTATCTACGATTACCATTCCAAAAACGTATTCTGAAGCTAGTTATTTGAAGATTTTGATTGAAAATTTTTGGTGTCTTAGAGTATGTTCATTCGAATTCTACAATTGCAAATTTATTACAAAATTAATTGTTCATTTTCTTTGCAGAATGCCTTACAAGAAATGATTGAACTGGTTATCGAAATTAATGAAGATCTCGAACAATTGTATGATTCAAGATCCAGTAAAAATGTAGAAGGTTTTTTACAATATTGGAATATTTATGTGCCGAAAACTGTAACCATACCAAAAATGAATTATATGTAACTTGAAAATAACCTTTGTTTCCATTTACGTGGATCATGTGGATCACGTGGACTTGACACGAACTTTTTTTAATTTACAGTTTTTTACAATATTGGAATATTTATGTGCCGAAAACTGTAACCACACCAAAAATGAATTATACGTAACTTGAAAATAACCTTTGTTTCCATTTACGTGGATCATGTGGATCACGTGGACTTGACACGAACTTTTTTTAATTTACAATCATTTTGAATTTTATAAATGATGTGATTATAGTTCGCACTGCGTAATATTTAATTCATCAAAAATTTTATTGTTAAATAGTTTTAACAAATCGTATGACATCCATATTTGGCTTTGAATATCAATTAACTTTAACATACGTGACTGGTAACCCAAATAAATTAAATTCTTGAATAACATGATAAATACTATTATATTTTTTTAAAAAATTAATTTAAAAAAAGTTGAGGGAGAAACCAAATAGAAAATTGTTGAAAAACCAACGATACGAAGGAAATAATATAAATTATTAAACAACTTTTTTATTTTAATGATGCTTAATTCTGGTTAATTAGAATATAAATAAATATAAAAAGCAAAAATTGAATTAGCGATATGTTCTTAAATAGCCTAAAATAATTCGATTACTTGATTACTTTATCTCAACATCACATTAAATAAAATTTCATAGTGACGTACACGCCACATATTCATAATAAGTGTAACTGAGATGCACAGCTAACATTACTCGGCCCATTATTCCTTCCTGTATAGATAAAAAGATATCCAGCTTGATCACAATTTTTTGTGATATTCGTCCAATGATATTGCTGTATTGTTGTCACATGATATATGGTTGTTTTCTATCCGGGTTATCCAGGTAGCATAACCATGACCCGGTAAAGAATGCTTATACGGGTTACCCGGGTAAGCCTTATCCAGGCTTGATCTCTACTCCTATCTTATTGATAAAATTAAGACCATTCTTTCAAATTAATTTATTTATGAATTCTGGAATTAACTGGCAATGAATAAAGTTATCGAGATATTTAATTTTCAATTCAATAATTTACTATATTATAATTTAATTGCCATTATAATTTTGCATAAATATAAGTTATATGCAAATTATATAATCATTTTCTTGTAGCACAATATAATTATGCATTAATTGAAAATATTAAAAATTAAATTATTAAATTCTCTTAGGATTAGAGATGTGAAGTTTACTGCAAAAATTTTTATTAAAAATAATCCAATTCAAACAATTAATCTTGATAACAAAAGTGTGCTGTTAATGCAAAAATGGGCCCAGTTACATAAGTAGTATAGTCTGTTTTACTATAAAATTTAATTGGTAGATACAAGCGTTTTGGTTTATTTGTAATTGCCACATTTATTCATTTTTTGATATAAATATATAAATACAATCTTTTTACTTATGTTTGAGCCTAAAAACTTTACTTATGTCTGAGATTAAAAAAAAAAATACTGAACAAATAAGTAGTCTAAATAAAAAATTTAAGGATGATAAATATAAGAAAGAAATTATTAAACTTGAAAAATTTTCAAAGTTAAATCGAGAAGAAAATTATCAAGAATCGTGGAAATTACTCCAAAAACTACTTAACGTTAATTGTGAAGATCGCACTATCAAATCTAAAGCTGAATTTTTCACTGCTGAATACCATCTTCATGGGATGGTATATAAATAAAGATGAAGAAAAAGCTTTTGAGTTTGCAACAAAACTTGCCGATAAAGAAGAATACAATTATGCATTAAATATTTTTAACCAGATTTGTAAAAACAAAAGTTCTAAGCTTAAGGATAGAGCTTCTTTCATGGTGGATAAATGTAAAGGGATGAGAGAGAAATTTTGGAAGAATTTAGAGTAACATTATAATCCTTGTATTGAAAATGGAGAAGCGTTCACCATAAACCTACTCTTGCTTGGAATTACTGTATATTTTTATTTTGCCTGGAGTTAAGCATAATTTTTCCAGAATTATACTTGCCTGAAGTTTTGCCTGGAATTATAATTAGTTTTGCTTGAAATTATATTTGATTTTGCCTAGAGTTATGCCTAATTTTTCCTGGAATTTTGCTTGAAATTATATTTTAATTTTATCTAAAATTATACTGTATTTACTTTTGCATGTTGCTTGAAATTCTATTTTAATATTGCCTAACATAGAGTTTGGAACTGGTTATAAATTTTAAAACCGGTTTTTATATCAGATCCCAGATAATGATATAATAAGAATCTTTACTTGATATTATATTTTGATTACTTTATTTTTGATTTTGATTCTTTTTGTTTGACCATTAAACTAAAATTCGAAAACTTTTAAAATATATTTCAATGTTTTCTAATGCAAATAAAAAGATTAATAAAAGAATTAATCACTAATTTCAGCGTGTATATTTTTTTTATATTGAGCTTGACTCAATAACTTAGTCAAAAATTGATTGTTCTTCATTTTCATCATCATTGCTTGAGCTCCTAACAGTACTACATGAACCAATACATAATAAAATAGTAGCAACAGTTAAGAAGGAAACACTCATAGTAGCCAAATAAATTCCAGGACCAGTATTTTGACTTCCAATACCAGGAATGATAGAAATAAGATCAAATACCCAAACAAAAAGTAAGAGATCAAAAAAACAAGCAATGAAATTAAGTAAGGATGAAGTTAATATGAGTAAAGCAGCAATAATTGTAAAATGAAAATATAATAAAGGTAAAGAAATTACATTAAATATTAAAGCTATTAAATAAGAAATTGTGAAAAACCCGAAACGTTAGCAGTAGGACTTCTTGGTTTAAAATTGTCGAAAGCACTTAATAACTGAGTTAATAAACCAGAGGCTACTGCAGCAATATCTCCAGCAGTATTTGCAGCAGTATTTGCAGCATCAGTAACAGCACTACTAACGGCCGAAACAGCTGGTTCTACACTAGATGGAACATTAGGAATTGAAGAAGTTGGGATTGAAGGAATTGGAATATCAAGACGGTTTTGATTTGAGGATTTACCAGTGATTTCTGAAGAAGAGGGCACTAACAATTAAAAATTATTTAATAAAAAAAATAAATAATAAGAAAACAATCAAAATTAATTTAATATATAACTTACATTTATCAAAATTATTAACCAGTGAAGGTGTAGTGCATGAATTATCTACACAATAACCGTATAGAGTGAAAGTTATATCATTTTTTTTTGTAATAAATTTTATCGGATCATCAAAAGTAAATTTTGATAAATAAATAGTTTTAGAACTACCAAGCAAAAGGATAAGAAGAAGTAAGATAGACAAAAGAATTAACATGAAAGAAGAAAATATTAAAGGGTATTCTTTTGATGGCCGGATTACATGAGAACGAAAGAATGCTTGAACTGGAGAGACAACATAAGTATGAAAAAATGAATGATTCTCAAGTTCTATGACAGATAAACTTTTTTCAGACATCTTTATACTGTGTATATTAATCTAGTTTCTTAGTAGGTTGACTTGAACGAGAATGCACTGCGTTCCTTTTACTTAGCAAAATCTTTGGACTGACTTGAACGCTCTGCGTGCAAACACTATTTAAACACTATTCCTTGACAGGATGGAATCCTTATATTTATAAAAAGTTCATATATTTTAAAAATAAATAACTTTAATGTCACCTGGCGAAGCGGTGTAAATTTCTCTAACAATACAATAAAAAAGATAAAATGCTTTAATAGATTCGGGAATTAAATTAGATATTCAATTGAATTTCAATTAGAATGTTAAGAATACTTGAATTGAAATTTTTTTTTGTCTTAGTTAGATAAAGAGATATTAGTTTTTTTTTTAAAAAAACCAAATATTTTTACCACTATTTATGTAAAAATTTTTGCCATATAATAAAAATTACATGAAATTTAATTTCAGAAACTTAACAAACTTACAAATGTTAACTGATATAATATTTTTTTAATTAAAGATGAAAAACTATCTTGATGCAGAATTAACATCTATCTTCATATATCGCAATTTGTGCTTCAAATTTGCTATTTCTATTAATTTTTTTAATTGCTGTCCATCTTTCCTTCGCGATTTCCAACTATATATGAGAATTTTTTTTCGGTATACTCTTTCGTAAAGATATAACTGCCAAATATAATCCACAAAAAAATTAGTATAAGATTGGCTAAATCTTAATTCTATGTTGAAACAAGTATTCATAATGAGGTTTGCTTTTAGCAATTAAGTCATAAACATTTTGAGGATATTCAATTTCTTCATCATTATTGATTGATTTGTCAAATCCTGTGCTTTGCATTACATTCTTTTTTTTATTTAAAATATGTACATAGTTAATATATGAAAAGAAAAATCACTTAAAAATAATAAACATACTTATGCCACAAAAAATCTATATTTGGACCTGACAATTTTAAATCCCATATATTCGACCTTTCTTC